GGGGGGGGGGGGTCTCGTGTTCAGTTCAATTAATCTTTATATCTATAGTGCTTTTACAATGTAAATTGTGTCAAAGCAGCCTAACATAGACGTTCTAGTAGGTTAAAACTGTGTCAGTCCAGTTTTCAGAGTTAAAGTTTAGTTTAGCTCAGTTCAGTGTGGTTTTTTCACTGCTGTAAGTCCAAATGCTGAAGAGCAAATCTATCCATGTCCAGCTCCACAAGTCCTAAGCCAAGCAAGCCAGTGGTGACAGTGGAGGAACGAAATTCACCAATTGACGAAAGTGAAGGAAACATCTTGATAGAAACCAGGCTCCGCTGTGTACAACCATTACTAGCTCATGAAAACTGTATTGACATTGTCCTTTTAATATTAAATAAGAAGCAAATTATAATATTCAACAGAAAATATATTGTGTAGAATTTTTTTTACTGGTCAAAATGCCTTAATTAAATGTCTAATTGCTTAATCCACCAGTGTTTAGGTTGTTTAAACAAATCCAAACAAAACCATCTGTCCTTATAAAATCTTTATTATCTTTTTATGTATTTTACCTACTTTTAACTGTCCTTCGGTTTCCCAGTGATGGGTTGCAGCTGGAAGGGCATTCGCTTCGTAAAACACATGCTGGATTAGTTGGCGGTTCATTTCGGTGTGGTGACCAGATTAATAAAGGGACTAAGCCGAAAATGAATGAATGAATGAAACTGTCCTTTGCTTATATTCGTTATGCCGGATGGTCCTAACTGATTGATATTATTTTAAATTCCAGGAGTTTGTGATCAACTCTCCAGACTTTGAAGCAGCAAAGTTCTGGGTGGGGAACTTGGGGAAGACCGCCACTCATTCAGTTGTATTTGCCCAGCTCTACACACCTGATGGAAAATGTCACGGCCTCCACTCTTTTATAGTACAAGTATGTGTAAAATACATTTTCAGTTCATTTGCTGGTCTTGTTTTTAGCGTAGTAATGAATAATGTGATTTTTTTAATGTAATGTAATTGACAGGTCAGGGATCCAAAGACCTTGTTGGCTATGCCAGGAGTGATGGTTGGGGATATGGGGAAGAAACTGGGTCAGAACGGTCTGGATAATGGGTGAGTTTACTCATTATGGCTGTGAACTGTTGTGAGCTGTTGTGATTGCAGTGTTTGGCCGTTAGATGGCGGTAAAGGAAAGCATGGAAAGATGTTTCCATTTGACCGACTTCAAATCCGTGATAGTATATTTTTCTTTCTGCTTAAATGAAAACATTCATCTTACATTTGATTATAATAACAAGTAACACAAATATTTTCATGATTTTTTTTATAAGGTTTTTAAAAAGTAAACACTGAGTGATTTTGTTGTTAGTTTTGCAGTGTTTCACAATGTGAGGATACCTCGGGAAAACTTGCTAAACAAAACAGGAGATGTTGCGCCTGATGGGCAATATGTTTCCCCTTTTAAAGTGAGTAACAACCATGATTGCCTGATAAAAGTTACATAATATGGATAGTTTATTGCTGTGTAACTGTAAAAATGTTTATCTTGATGTATAGACTCTTATAGTAGTGTCAGGAATTCACATATATATCCAGAGTCAGAGAAGACATTTTTCCTGTAATATTTTTCTTTTAAAGAAATTCATATTTGTTTTTTTGTTTAGCTGGACAATATTTTTAGGTCAATATTATTAGCCCCCTTAAGAAGATTTGTATTTTTTCTCAACTGACTATAAAACAAACCACTTATGTCAAATGACCTTTCTCACTATACTAACTTGCCCAGTAAAATTCCTTAACCTAGTTAAGTCTTTGCACATTATGCTGAATAGAAGTATCTTGCAAAATAACTAGTCAAATATTATCTACTGTTCGACTGTCATCATAGAAAAGGCAAAATAAATGAGTTATTAAACTATTATGTTTAAAAATGTGTTTAAAAAACTCTCTTAAACAGCACTCTGCAAAATATTTTAAACGAATTATTATTTTACAGAAGGAATAATAATTTGGATGTCAACTCTGTAATATCGGTGTGCATATCAGCAGTATTTTATTGGGCATTTATGAGCAAAGGAAATGATAAAGGCATTTTGGTGCTCATCCTTATGCAGATCATGTAAACGTTTTACTCTCCCTGCTGTAGGAGAGTGCAGTCGGGTGGTGGCTGTTATTCCAGCTGCTGTTCTCTGCTACGCAAGATGTACCAGAAGGAATCCCTATGCTTTCATTTCAAACAAACAGGGAGTTTTTAATCACAGGGAAAGCCAGGCCGTCAGCCAATATTACTGACAGAAAGACATAAAGGGGCTTTTCTGAAAACAAACTAAGGCGAGAGCTTGAGAATGGATGAATTAGATATCATTTCCCCTTCTTTTCCTCAAATTCCTTGTCAATTTTTTTTTACTTGGTTTGGTCTTATCTGGGTTTTTTTTTTTTTTTCAATTTGTTCCAACCACACATCTTCGTAGGACCCCAATAAGCGGTTTGGGGCATCTTTAGGTGCTCTGTCAGGAGGCAGGGTGGGCATTACGAGGATGGCACTGGTCAATCTGAAGCTGGCAGTGACTGTGGCTGTGCGATTCTCTGCCACACGCAGACAGTTTGGGCCCAAAGAGGACGAGGAGATTCCAGTGCTGGAATATCAACTGCAGGTACAGACTGACACTCTCCACTGGAAACTATTCAAGTGATTGTTCATCCATCCACTCAACTTAATCTGTTTGTGCTACTGTTAAAAAAAAAAAGGTAATTTGAAGTATGTTGGAAACTGGCAACCAATGACCCCCCCCCCCCCCCCCAACTATGAATGTCAATAGCTTTGCAACATTCTTTAAAATAGCTTCTTTTGAAACTCAAATGTTTGGAACCACTTGGTGAGTGAGTGAATGGGGAGTAAATGTACATTCTTGGAATACTACATCAACAATAACTACATTAAATTCAGATAAGTGATTTATGGGTCAAAACCCTAAATTTTCTTTTTTTTTTTTTAATTAATTGTTTATGAACAAAAAATACATTTAAAAACTGTATTAAATAATTACGTTTATGATTTGAACGAATTGCAATAAGAAAATATTTTTTATGTAATAAAATTGTAAAAAATACATTTCCAGCTTGTTTAATAACATGCAAAACAGCACTTTAATTTACAGTCCTGCTCTAGAGTCATGTACTTTAGAAGTACTTATGTGTACACAATATATGACCTATGCATGATCTCTGAATGTAGTTTTCTTGTATTATTAAGTACTTTCTTAGTACACTGTAAGTTTGTATTGTTAACCGTGTTGGGGAAATTGTGTTACTCTCCTAATTACATTACTTAGTTACCTTTTATGAAAAGTAATGTGTTTTGTTACTTTTAAGTTACTTTTACATTACTTTTTCTTACCTAGCTGAGACTTGATCTATTTCATTCTTTTTTTTTTTTTTTTTAATAGAGGAGCTCTGCGATTAACAATGTAGTGTATAACCTTCATTTACCTTTAAAAAAACACATAAAAAATTATATTATAGGATAATGTTATCTTCTGAGAACTTTCTGATACCAGAGCTATACATGCATATTTGTAAATAATATAAATATTTCCATCAATGAAATATAAGGCTCTGGCCTGTCATCTTGGTTTCTGTCTGATCCTGCATTCTGCATGAGTGCATGATTCAACGTGATTGTTTATTTTAATTCAGGCATTTATTTATCTATATTTTTTAACTTATGACTTTTTAACTATTTTTAAATTTTTAAAAAGGTAACTCAAATATGACTTAATAAAAAAAAATGTATTACTTTACTCGTTACTTAGAAAAGTAACATTATTACTTAGCTCGCGTTACCCCCTACAGGGATTGCATAAAAATATAACATTACCACCAAGGCTTTTCTTAAACATTAACAGCACAGCGACTTATTAATCAGTGTAAAGAACATGTCTTTTGACCAGTTCTGTTCATGTTCTTCACTTTTGTAGCAATGGCGTCTCATTCCATTCCTGGCAGCCGTGTATGCACTGGAGCACTTCACCAAATCCTTCAGCAGGAACTTTGTGGAATTTCAAATGGGACTTTTAATGAAGGACAAGAGCGACAGACAGGTAAAGTCATATACCTGTACTTTTAATTATTCTTAGTGTATAAGCATACAAAAAATAGATAAATAAATAAAACATTGATAATTGTCCAATATATCTTCAGAAAGAGTTTTAATTGTTTTCACATGAAACAAAGCTTATAAATGTTATTATTATTAATATTAATATTAATATTAATATTAATATTAATATTAATATTATGGCAGCAGATCTGTTTGGAATTTCCATTTGATGTTTACAAATGAAATTTAATGCTGAGCAGGTGTAGCATTGACTTTTGAATCAGGTGGATGCTTGCACAAGTTCTGTGGTTGTTTGAAGTTCTAAGTGTTGTTGTTTGAACTCTTGAGTTCTAAGTGAAGATGTAGTGTTAATCTTATAAACTTACATAGGCAAATGCTTATTGTGGCTTTTAACTTTCTTATACAGGACATCCAAAAAACATTCACAGCACTTCATTTTTTTAAACATTTTGTTATGTTACAGCTTTATTCTAAACTTACTTACTTAGTTACGTACTTACATGCTTGTTTGATTGCTTGCTTACTTACTTATTTCTGGCCTCTTCTACCTTGCAGTGTTGAAATTAAATCCTTATTTCAAAATGCAGCAGTATTATTTATTATATGCATATGTTTAGTTGTTTTAAGTTGTTAAGTTGTTTCAAGTTTGTCCACCTGTGGGGTTTTGGAGACTGCATCACCATATGGGACATAAGAACAGGATATGTGTTTGGATATAACTCAGTTATTTGACCACACTTCATTATTATTATTAATTTAATCGTTTTATGGAGATTAAAACTGAATTTATAAATAGTTTTGAAACAAATCTTTGCACTTAACAGACTAAATAAATATGCAGACTTATAGATGTCTTCAGCGGGGTGCGTACAACACCGTTTCCTTATCCACAAAAATAAAAGAGTAAAAGTAAAGTAAGGAGGCGGAATGGAGGAGGCTTGTTCTTTATCCCCACACTGCTGATGCTCTGTTTAACTGTTTTCATGCTGGGGCAGTGTTCAGTTTTTCCACTTACAAAGTCTGCCACGTAATAGCAAATGCGCCTTGGAGTGACACAACTGACTTTTAAAGGGAATGGTAGATGAGACTCTGATTGGTTTAATGCACGTTTCATCAAAACACACCCTGAACTCTTTAAGAGAATAAACACAACATTGTTAAAACATGTGTTAGACCATTTGAGGTATTTAAAATAGCAAAAGTGGATTTGGACACAGCCTTAATGTTTTTGTGCCATGTGCAATTAGGGTTGTAACAATATACCGGTATGACGGTCTACCACGATTTGAACGTGCACGATTATCATACCATGAACAATTGCATATCAACGGTTTTAACCCTTAAAGACCGAGACAGCCGCCCGCGGCTAAAAATAAGTATTGCTCTTAAATGTTTAATAACTTTTGATCCGCTGATCCGATTCATACAATTCAAAGATTGGCATAAAGAAGAGAATCTCAGCTTTCCAGTGCTGTATCACATAACTTTCGCGGACTTTCATAGACTCCGGAATCAGTGCGGTTACGTCATCAAAATTTGACAACGCTGATTTGACAAAGAAACGCTCGTCACTGTGTCTCCGGACAAACCAGACATGATACATTGATGCATTGTCCCTCCTCCGTGCCCAGATTGGTTCAAACTCGCTATATCACAACCAATAAGCATAGGTTTCGCTTTTGTTTGTGGACCAACAATGAGCTTTTTGAACAACACGGAATGAGAGATAGGCATACATTTATGCGCGGCTAAATAAAACGCAAAAAAAAAAAGTTTTGCATGAAATAATTCTCATACTAAGTACTTTTGCATGCACAGCAGCACAGAAACATGACAAAACAGTCACACAGCAAAGACGAACTGCTGCTCTTGCTGTTTTCAAAAGACATTGCAGACAACCATATCCAAATCCATATCCACAGACAACCATATCCATGCTGGCACATAAAACCTAAGGATGTTCCATATTGAATCTAGTTTCGTTATGTAACTATCTATAGTATAGTAAATATTTATATCTATTTTTTTACTGAGGATTTGCACCATGTTTATTTGGACTTTGACACATTATTTCTTATTTTCTTATTTTTTTATTTGTTCATTGTAAGTGGTGTTGTTTATAGTAACTGAAAATATATTATTTGGAAAAAGTCAAATTTGCTTCACTGTTCTATTATTTTGTAACATTTGTAACATACCGTATACCGCAAAACCGTCAAACCGTGGTATTGTTTTAGACGATTATCATACCGTAAAAAATTCATACCGTTACAACCCTATGTGCAATACATGACCGGCGCTTGAGCATCACTTTGGGGTCTGTTGGTAGCCATGATTGCCTGCCTAATTTTGGTCATAAGGCAGAGGTGTCACAAAATGTGATAAAGGTGGCCACCTCATAATTCTCCATGAAGGAAAAACCCAAAGTATCATCTAAATTTGTTTCGAGGTTGCCCATCATTTGTTGGATCACATATAGTTTGTGTGTGCCACTCTTAAGGCTGAACTGGGCAGAGAGATCCATGCCTTGTCCTGTGCGAGTAAACCTTTGGGATCATGGACTGCTCAGCGAGGTATTCAGGAATGTCGAGAGGCCTGTGGAGGACACGGTTACCTTGCCAGTGAGGAATTCCTAAAAGCTTCATTGGCTAAATATTGCTCATAAACACCATGTCTAATATCAAAAGAGCTTGTAATAAGTTTCTGTTTGTCTTCTCATGTTTAGTGAACCGACTGGGGGACATGCGGGACGACAACGACCCAAACTGCACATATGAGGGAGACAACAACGTCCTCCTGCAGCAGACAAGCAACTACCTGCTCAGCTGGATCCAACACAAACAAGAAGGTCTCTATACTCTTGATCTTTATTAACATCAAGAGTCTGTCTGCATGTGTCTGCTTGTCGTGTTATGACATACTATACTATACACATTCACATACTCTTTTCAGATACAAGCCTTCATTCATTTGAAGGGAGAAAGTCATTTATGAGCACCGTTTAGTCATATCACATATTGAAAAAATTATCTTTTACTAGGTGAATCACTGTCTGGCCATCCGAGATTATGGATATAAACAATACAATGGGGATTTTCAATTAGAAGATAGCATTAGGATAGCTTTTGGATATAGTATAGGATGTTAGATAGCTATTGGAAATGGGCCAGATTCATGAAACATTCTCAAGAAGAATTTCTTCACAATTCATTCATTTTTCTTCGGCTTAGTCCCTTTTTTCATCAGGGGTTGCCACAGTGGAATGAACCGCTAATTTATCCACCATATGTCTAACACAGCAGATGCCCTTCAAGCTGCAACCCAGTACTGGGAAACACCCATATACACTTTTTCTCTCACACAAACACACACACACACACACACACACACACACACACACACTACGACTAATTTAGTTAATCAGTTCCCTTCAAGCGCATGTGTTTAGACTGTGGGGGAAACCGAAGCACCCAAAGGGAAACCCACACCTACACAGGAGAACATGCAAACTCCACACAGAAACGCCAACTGACCCAGCCAGGACTCAAACCAACAACTTTCTTGCTGTGAGGCAACAGTACTATCCACTGAACTATTGTGTCTCCCTCTTCATTACAATTTTCTTCTTAATTTGTAACTTATGACAAAAGTAAAGAATACATTTAGTTCCTTAGACATCGGATAAGGATGTTTTTTTAATCTTTTTATTACTAAGATTGTTTTAAGACAAAACTTAAAAAAAGATTGAATTTTCTTTAAAATCATCTTAATTTAACTTACAACTCGAAAACTAACAACAAGTGTGTCTCTATGTGTCACACAAAAAAGTATTTATTTACAAAAACACTCACAAAAGGCATTAGAACATCAACACTGGCAGAACAGGGAGTGGTCACAATACAGTGCCAAACCAAGAAATACAAACTCAGGGGTGTACAGTCACTAACAAAAGTCTTGTAGCTTGTGTACAAACTGACCTGATGTGCGGCTGAACTGTATTTCTAATCAAGATTATTTTACTAGAAATGGCTTGTTTTAATCCCAACAGCTTTTGTAATAATACTTCAGTGCAAAACAAAACTGTCAAAACATATTCTAATATTCTCAGCTTGGTGTAAAGCCCATTGAGTAAATTTTTGCAAAGACATACACAGGTGTTGTTGCCTAGTGATATGAGCTTCACCTGTGATTAATAATGGATCAATTAGGTCCCAGGTGTGTTTAAAAAAGAACCGCAGTACACTAGACATTTACATTAACTGCAACTAGACCTCTGCAAACATGTCTAAGAATCACCCTGAGAGTGATGATTATCAAGAGGCTGAAGACCAAATCCACTGCTGATGTGGCGGACACCTTCAGTGTGTCTCATTGTCAAGTACAGAGTATAAAAAAAAGATTTTAAGAGATTAGGGATGTTTTTGACAAGCCCAGGGCAGGCAGACCCCGCAAGACAACTGCTCAAGAGGATCGTTTGTTGGCTTGAAAATCTAAGGCCAGTCCATTTTCCACTGCAGTACAGCTCCACGAGACCTGGTCACCTGAAGTCCCTGTGTCAACTTATTTTTTTGTGTGTTAACTTATTTCTTAAAAAGATTTGTTTAATCTAGCTACAATCATTCAACATTTGAGCAAATGGATAAGAATAAGTACTATAATGACAATGTTTGAGTCATAGAATTGTATTGCAGAAAATGAAAACATCTGATGTGATGGTGGATTTGAAATCTTTTGCTCTTTTTTTTTTTTTTTTTTTTTTTTTTTTCACCTAACAAGGTAACGGAAGGATCGAATCCCCTCTCGAGACTGTCAACTTCTTAGATGACATGAGCAGCATTCTGCAGAGCAAGTTCACAGTTGGCTCAGTGGAAGAGTGCATGAACTCAGCCGGTACGCAACATTAACACCACATTCTCCATAACAGGGACTCGTGTCTGCACATTCTTCACAAGCATGCACACAAAAACCACATTACTCATCTAGCATTCACTTCACCTCAGCTATCTCAGTTCTCAGGTAATCCTCGTTCTTCTCCTTCTTCGTCAGTCTGAAATTTATCATTTATTGAGCCCATTAAAATTGGAAGGAAAGAAAAAAAAAATTCAAGAACCTTACTATCTGTCATTTAAAGATCAAATTGAACAAGATCTACTTTCAGTTGCATACAGGACTTTTATAATAATAATGTAAATTAAACCATTTCATAAAATTACAGTGAAAGTAAACTCATGATTGTTAAAATTGAGACCTTTTTCAAGAATATTTCCCTATTATTTTGTGCGTTTTTTTTTACATGAACATATATTTAGAGGTTTATTCATTTCATAAATGACTCGCAATAGGCTAGTTGGTTATTTTTTATCGCTTTTATTTATATGCATCTGTGTTGTAGTTAATTTCCTGGAGTATCTTCTGCCATGTTGTTTGTTTGGCAGTTGCAGGGAAAAATACGGGAGCCAAGAGGGCAGAGTCATGTGTTGGGGCGAAAACCGGTTTTCATTCAAACAAATTGATGTAAACTTCACACTCGAGTTTATCTATACAATTGTGTTATCGCCCAGCCCTACTTAAAAGCAGTTAAATCATCAGTTTATTTTCACACTTACTCTCCAAATAAATGTGACAAGTATAGATCTTTATGTTTAATTAAATATTTTAGAGGACCACATTACTGCTATTAAAATTAATACTATTTTTCTGCATTTATCATAATAAAATAAGTTAATTTAATTATCCAGTTGTATTTGAAATCAGGCCAGAGCAGCAAATTATCAAATATAATTCTTTATTGTTTTTTTCAAAGTGACCCAAAATTGCTAATTCTGTCATCATTTACTATTCCTTTTCTCATTCCAAATCAGTTTGATTTGCTTTCTTGTTGAACACAAAAGAAGATATTTTGAAAAAAGCCGGAAAGCTTTAGCTATTCACTTTCATATTGTTTGTTTTTCTTACTACGAAAGTTATTGGTTACAAGTTTTCAGCTTTTATTCAAAATATCTTCTTTACTGTTCAACAGAAAAAAAAAAAAATAAGTTTGGAACCATTTGAGCATAAGCCAATAGTGAGTAAATTTAAATTTTGGGGTGGACTAAACCCTTTTGGGATGTCCCGATCAGGTTTTTTGATTTTGAGTATCTACCTGTACCCGATCTAATACTTTTCTATAATATATAAAAAAACTAAATTAAATATCTCACTGTTTGCTCTGGCAATGTTGTCATTATCAACTTTATAATACCTCCAGACTTCAGTTATACTCATGATTTCCGCTTCAAGCTGCTTCTGTGTTCTACTTTGCTGGCCAGTAGCGTCTGCAATAAAGTGTTGTCATGCCGCACGCGTTTCTGTTTCTGTGTGAAGTCAAGAAAGAGGTCTAACTCTGTGCCACGGCATAACTATAGATGTGTTAAAAAATAATGACAATATATGTATGTATATATTCGAGTCCTTATCAGGAGATGATGTCCGATTCTGATCGAGTCTGAAACCGCATGATTGAGCAGATAACGTGTTTGGATCTGCACATCCCTAATCCCTTTAATACTAAATTAAATGTAAAATATAATAACTTCTAATGATTGTGAGCCTGCATTATTGTTTATCTAAATTTGTAATAAGACAATAGTATATGTAGTTTAGGAATGTCTGTGTATACTGTATATATGTATATATATGTATAAATATATGTATATATATGTGTATATTAGGGCTGTAACGATACACCAAACCCACGATTCGATTCGTATCACGATTTTTGACCCACGATTCGATTCGTATCACGATTTTTTTTTTCGTGTGGGGTGGGGAAAAATATTTTTAAAACTATTTTTTATTAAATGGAATTATATCATTTTTGTTTTCTTTGTAACAAAATACTTTTGAAAAACCAAACAGAACTAAACTCCATTGTGTAGATGGTTCACGCATGTTAAAAATTATTTTTCAATCAAGTTTTCTTACGTAGAAAAAGTCAATTAAATGGCTACTAGGGATGCTCATTTCGGTTAATTTTGCTAACAGACAACCGCCGCTCATTAATCGGTTATTAACGGTTAACTGGTCAGATTACTATCAATTTTATATTAAACAAATTGATGTGTCTATTTTGTGTCTGACACATTAAATATTGCATTTGAATATAGGCTACTGATTTATTTTTATATGCTAGCATATTAATAACAGAACAGAACAACAGAGCATCTTCACGCAACTGCAGTGTTTAGCACAGAAGAGCAAAATAATCTAAATAAAATGAATAAAATAAATAGGACTGACTTAAATTATTTTCACTTAAATAATTAATTTATATTACAAAACAAAAATACTGACTGATTCTTTTTAACAACCGGCATAGGATGTTTTTTTCCAATCATGTTTTTTCTTCCGTCAAATAAAAATCGCAGACTTCCTCAAATTGCCCGCTCCACGGAAAATGTGCATTTATTTAATGTCCCGCTGTTATTATTATAATAACAAAACCTTTTACATTTTAATAGAAATCATTATTTTAAAGAATATGTCCTGATGGTTTCCTCTCTCTCCCTCGCGGTTCAAGTGCGCGTGCTGCGTGATGAAAAGACAACAACACGCGCGCATATGTTGACTTTTTGTAAACAGTTTTGTTGTTTAAATATGCTATTGCATTAATGTGCATACATGCTTTATAAGCCGAAAACAAGGCGCATCTCACTGCCTTTATGTTGACAAGGAAAAAAGAAGAGAAGAAGCGCGGTCCTCTTATGAAACGACTGAATCAGCTGGGTATCGATTGTGCATAAGTGTTGCTGTCTGTGTTGTTACAATTGTAATATTTAATAATATTATGATATTCAAGATTTGTATATTCATACAGCTCTGGATAACTTAAGCGATTAGACCTTCAGAGCGGCATTATGCGTCCTGAAGTAAAGCGAAACGGCTATAAACTCCAGCAAGATAGAGTGATTATATACAGTCATATACCTTTATCTCTAAATAAAGTATAACTATAGAAACTGTGTTCATCTTAACTGAAAGCTTCGTCCTGTTTCCTGGCCTCACGCATCGCGCTGTCAGTCAGCACGTAACGTTAACTCTCAAAGGTTCAAACAGAAAGCGCACAGCACGGTTACAGAAAAGTTTCCTCTGCAGAGGAGTCGGGGCATCTGGTGAACGCCCATCCCTCTCTGCGCAGCCACATTAACAACAATGCTTTGACAGCACTGGCAATGTTTCTGCCGTTGTCTGTTGTCAAGAGGGGTTAAGTTGGTTTTGTTTTTGATATTCCTGACACATTCAGACAGTCCCTTACTAAGAGCTCCGTGCGAGCTCTCCAGGTTAAACGCATATTGCGAGGGCTTAAACGGAGCAGTGCTCGTAATGTCAAGCAGAAAAAAAGTGTTTCCTCACGCTCTTCTTCAACTAGCTCAACTTTTGCAGGCAGCACGCGTGACGTTATTGGAAAGGTAGTTACGGGGTGTGTCGCGATTCTCCCTTATCACACCGCGACACAGGATCGTAGATCTGAGTGTCGCGATTTCGATTTTATATCGTGTATCGTTACAGCCCTAGTGTGTATAT